GTCCATTTATTCTTTTGCATAGAGACTGTCCGGTTTAGCCAATGTACATGGCAGAGGGGCATTGCTGGCACATGATGGCATATATCACAATGGTAGATGTGCAGGTGAACAAGCCCCTGATGGTGTGGCTGATGTGGTTAGGTCCTGCAACAAACCCCGTTGCCAACTCTGTCTGCATATCTATTCAAGGGACACCATCATGGGACCTAACCACATAACACCATAGCATAACACCACTAAAGTCAGAGAATTTGGCCCAAATAACTTGAGTTCAGTGTTTAAAGCATGCAATTTTAAAAATCCATTCTTTCTAGTTATACAAATTTTATGATGAGTCACCCTGTACTTTATGGGACTGTGCTCCACAGTGCTAACAGAGAAAGGACAGTCTTGTTAAAGCACAGAAATGCGTCATGAGATCTGGATTCTATGCCCATCTTGGTGTGACTTTGACAGCAAGTAATTTAAGCCAACCTTTTCAATGTGAGTGCCTAAAGCTAGAGGTCTAAATCCATATTTGGTTAACAAGATAAAAGTAATCCAATTTTCTGAGGTGTTAAGCAGCCACAGCTCCCATTGACTTCAATACTGTTACTCAGCACATCTGAAGAATACGACTGTTTAACTTTTGTTGCCTAAATATGGATGCAGGTATGCACCCAAGTTGAAAATTATAGCCTTCACCTCTCTGAGCCTCAGCCGAATCATTGTACAATGGAAAGAATAATATTTACCCATCTCACAGGGTTGCTGTCAGATTCAATTCACTGCTTTGAGATCCTTGAATGCAAGTCACTATATGACCATAACGTATCGCTATTATGATATTATTGAGTGGTTATAGCAGAGGACTGAGAGTTTGGATTCTTTGGTTCTATTCCTAATCATGCCACTGACTTGCTGTGTGAGCTAGGCATGCAGCCTAACTTAATTTTAGCATCTGTCAATGGAAATAATATTTTCCTACCACATACTGGTGTTCTGAGGATTATTATAAAGTGCTTTGACTCCTCGGTGCAAGTGCCATAAAATAACAAAGTATTATTTGTGTACTGATTACAGTACTATTTTTGTTAGTTAAGATTTTATCTTTGAAGTGTAGAAAATAATAGCATTACAGATTTGATTAGAAAGTGGAGCAGGTTCAATGTCTCAGCTTTTTCTAGGGCACTGACTTCTTGTTTTGGTCATGGAAATTCACAGTGACATTATGTTCATCTTCTGTATCTAAAACATACCTGCATGGAAGTAGCTTTTAATCAGGAAACACTCTTGGAAGGGCATAGTGTATTTAATTCAGGAACCGTGGGTGAAGTTAAGTGATTTGAGGAAAATTAGACTGATTCAGTAGCAACAGATTTTATGTAAAAATGAAACAACTCCTTTTTAACAATGCAGAGGCAGAAATGTGAAAATAGCAGAAATTATCAGACGAGCTAAACTGAAACTTAGCATTTTTCTAATTTAAATAAGGAAGGATGAAGCCAAACCTTGAGTAATGTTCTGCCTCAACCAACCACATTTGTTATTTGATGTTCTTAAACATGAGAAAGAGTAATGACCTATTTCACTCTTCTTGGGAAGCTGCAATTTTTCTGACAAATAACACATGACAAATAACTTAAGACAATTTCACAAAGTTTAAAGCTTTTCCTAGTATGAAATATTAGTCTGTAAAACTGGGATAAAAAGACCAAGCAAATATGCAGGATTGTCAACCCCAAGTCTGTTAAACAATCAGGAGTCAGGCCCCAAAATCATGAGATTTTAAGAGAATATTAAATTTGGGTTCTTTTCCTTTGCCTTCTGGTTTTTGAACCTCAAGGTTACAGCTGGGTCATGTTTTCAAGCTTTTCTCTGGAACCATGAGGGCTAGATGGTTCCTTATTTCTTCCCCCCCAGTCCCCCCAAAAAAAAGAAAGAAAAGAAAAAAGAAAGATAAGATTCTCACATAATCAACTGCTTCCAGGAGCTGGGGCCTTAAGAAAAACATCAAATATAGTGAACATGGTAATAAAGAAAATCACAAAAGTTGGCAACACTAAAGGACAAAAATCAGAAATGTACAGCAGAGAGCAAAGGAAAGTAATTTCAGGGCTGGAATTGGAATAGAATTCAATAGAACTCAGTAAATCTGAGACCCAATCCACCAGAACTCAAAAGGACATGTTAGCGTGAAAAGTCTCAACCCTCCTCACCCCCCATCTCTCATTCTGATGTTCAGTCTTTGCTTGCAACCTTACACGACTTACTTCCACCTCCTCTCCGGCTAGGCTCACTCCCTACCTGCATCCATTCTACCTTGGCAGGTAGCAGAAGTTGCCTCAACGAGGCAAGATGCCAAGACTTCCCTCTTTCCCAGGCCTGCTCTTTGCCATGATAAGCCTCTGCCTCTTTGGATCACCCTGTTTTTATTTAAAGGAGCGGAAAGAGGGAACACCACTGACAGGCAGGTTGCTGGAGCAAAAGGAGCCTGAAAAGAAGGGGACAGAGAAGGGGAGAATTGTTAGGAAATTCCCCCATCTCCAGGGAGAAAAGCAGCTGCTGAGGAAGGAATGCGGGAGCAGTGGGGAGCAGCAGAGACTCCTTCAACCACTGCCACCAGTAAAATAAGTGTTTGTGAGGAAGAAGAGGGAGCAGAGACACTCTGCCCTGCCCAATGAAAGATGCACTAGAGAGTTCAGGGATGGGAGAAGGGAGGTGCAGAGGACTGAGGCCTTGTCCACATGAGAAAGTTGCGCTGATTTAATTGATTTTAAAGCAGTCTAGTTAAAATGGTACAATAGAGCTGGGTGGAGAAGAGTATTCAGTTTTGTGAGCTGTGGTCATTTCCCCACCCACCCCTTCTCACCAACAAATAATTTATATTCTTCTGTGATTGACAGTAATATAAAAAAGAAGGGGCTTTGTAATTTACTTGCATGGGATAGATTGTTTTTTTAGGCCTTAATTCTGAGTTGGAGTTTACTAACATTAACCCTCCGATGCCTCAGAATCTCATTAAATTCTGTGGGGTCTGGAATTTTGAGTCACATTTTGCTCTCAGTTATACCCGTGCAAATCTATTTGGTCTTTTGTTTTCTCACTAGGTGTAGAGTTTAAGAACATTGTTTGGACTATAAATACATAAATAATACACAGCTATTCAAAACATGATTGAGATTATGTGGCGGGGGAGCCCTGCAGGTCACAGCGCTGGTGTCAGTGTATGTGTGTATGGAGGAGCGCTGCAGGTCACAGCGCAGAGCCGGTGTCAATGGGGTGGGGGGAGCTCTGCAGGTCATAGCACAGAGCCAGTGTCAATGGGGGGGGAGCTCTGCAGGTCACAGCGCAGAGCTGGTTTAAATGGGGGGGGAAGAGGGAGCTCTGCAGGTCACAGCACAGAGCTGGTTT